GGTGGTTTTTTGATCATGTCCAGAGTATTTTCTCTTAAGAGAATTATCTGAATCTCTTTACACCATTTTTTAAAATTCTGACCACTTAAATGTAATTTTTAAAAATAATTTGGCAAAGTTACAAAATTATTGCCATTAAACTGCATGGGGAGTTGTTCAAATGGCTGAAAAGAGCCTGTTGTGAATGGCATTGGGATCCCTAAGCCTGGGATCGATTGCTTAGGTCTGGCTCCTTTTTGTAGTCCTTCTGTAGTTTGAAGCAACTGGGCACGTGCAGGAAATGGAGCATGCTCAAAAGCCTTTTCTTGTTGGAGCTCCGATCTCCCTCTCTGAGCTCTGAAGTCAGGTCTGGCTGGAGCTTCAGCATAGGCCCGAACATCGGCTGTGTGGTGGAGAAACCTTGGAGGAGTGGGAAGAAGGCCTGGAGATCTTTCTGGAGACTGGAGGCCCCTCAGATGAGGCCCATGGGCTGGATAGGCCTTGAAATGTCTCTGGATCTCCTCTTCTCCATCAGAGGAGCAGGATTGCAGCTCCGGATCATCCCAGTAGGACCGGAAAGGTGCGGAGGCCTCAGCCTGGGCCTCCGTGGAGCATTCAGTGAATGGTGAGCGCCTCTGCAGTGGGGGGTGGGAGGCTGCAGGTCCATCTGGGTTCCTCCGGAGGTGGGAGGTTGGATTTGGGGCCCTCCTTAAGTGGGCAGCTGGGTCTGGGGCCTCGGGGCGGCCGGTGGGTGGTTGCTCCATAAGTTCCAGGGCAGTGACCAGGGCCTCTATGGCCTCTTTGATGTTTGCCTTGGCAGGCGGGGCCTGGCAAGGGGCTTGTGGGTTCGGAGTGGTCCTCTGGGCTGCTGGAATGCTGAACTGACTGGCTGGCGTTGTAGGCCTGGGCTGTGGAGCTGGGGATGGCCTGGCTCGTGGTTCTGGCAAAGTGCCCAGGGGAGCAGCCATCTTGGAGTAAGTTGCCTCCGGAAGTGGCCTGGTGGCCATTTTGTTTGGCGGGAAACTGGGTGGGGGGGGAGTCTCTCTGGCGGCAGGCGCCATCTTGGAGAGATCAGGCAGGGGAGTCCTTACCGGGATGGCAGGCATCTCTGGTGCTGCCTCCTCAGGCCTCTTTCTGGCTGCTGCCCTTGTCTTCAGGAGGGAGGCGAGCGCTGCTCGGCAATCCTCTTCTGACATCTCAGCCACTTGCCTGTCCAGGCTTTCATCTGGTCCTTCTGCCCCCTCTTTGTCAGTGCTGAAGAAGCCTTCTCCAACATCGCTTGGCTCAGCCCCTGGGATCTCTTGCTGCATCTGGGTGGCCTCTGGCTGCCAGGGTGTAGCAGGATGGAAACCCCCTTCAATGTTTTCCATCGTTGCTTCAGACTGGGGCTGCTGTGAAGTTCTCCTCCGTTGAAGGCCTCTGGTCACAACAGGGGAGCTTCTCTCACAGGTTATTTTGGAGGGCATCTCGCCTTTTCAACAGCTCCTGGAGTGGAGTTCTGCTACCATTCCCTCTGCTACCATTCTGTGGAAATTGGGATCGTAGAAACACCCAGGAGCATAGAAGAGTCCAAAGGCAGATGCATGAATAAATGTGATAAATGTATTTATTCATATAACAAAACATATTAACTATATACAAAGGCTGTCTTGATATCCATTAGGATAGGGAGCACACAGCGTGTGTGACTACCCCTATCAAAGATCGTGTCTCATGGAGAACAAACGTAAAAGAGAGCTTGGTGGAAAGGTTAGAGGGGGTTTTATACTCAGTGTAAGCCCCTCCTCTCCATATAGGCGTGGGGGCACTTTCTGCCTCCACTAGTGTCTGTATGATATATGTGCCAATGGCTTGCAAATACTTGACAACATGTCACTTGGTATATCTAATAGGCTTTACTTGGCTAACCTATATATGTAATGGGACAATTTTATTCCTTTCTCTTGTTGTGATGTAGACGGCTATAGATTTAATGCTTGTTTCATGTATAATATATATAAAAAAATCCAAACCCATCCCATAGATGAAATACAACCACCATCCAGAAGCCAGACACGGCAGCATCACCAGCTGCTGCACCCCCCCCCTCCGATCCCCACACAAAGCAAAGTGACACACACCATGAACACATGACAAGTCCTCAAACTTGAAGCCAAACCTAAGCCCGGGATGCTGCATCACAGCCATCTGCTCAGGATATCACATCACAGAACTCAGAATGCCACAACACTAAAGCTCAGGATGCTACAACACAGCCAACTACCCAGGATGTTGCAGCACAATACTCAGGACATCATAACAATAGAGCTCAGGATACTACATAAGCCATTACCCAGGTCGTTAAAACACAAAAGACTAATAGGCACACAGCCAGGGCCTCACCCACACAGGATGCGACGAAACAGCTGACTGCAAACATCAACTCCATTAACTAATCAAGATGTAACAACACAGCCAACCAACCCACTTACAGCAACAAAGCCAGAACTCCCCACCTCCCCACCAGTATTAATAGAGAGACGGCAGCTCCGAGCACGCTTTGCTCACACAAGCACGAAGCCAAAAGCACCAGCCTGAAAATGACAAGTGAGACCTCATCGAAATGTCGCCAAGATACTCTCAATCTTACATGGGAAAAGACCCATACACACCAAAACTTGCATACACGACAAACCATTTTATACCAAATTTACATTTTGCTGATAAAGAAATGAAGGGAGACTAGTATAGATCTATTTCAAGCTTTTTAGCTTTCATCAGCTAGTCATCAGCTAGCGGCTGCTTGAGGGCTCCTGGATTGGAGCTGAAAGGGCAAAGGATATACTGGTTGTATCAGCAGTTTTTAAAATATATATAATGTTATACATCCTAATTATGACCATTTTTCTCTTAATCATACAGTATAGTCCGTAGAAAAAAAAGAAACTTGATATTATATAACATACATAAATCTTGTTTGCATAGTTATAACATAATTCTCTATACATTTAGCACTTTTATATATTTTAATTTGCAGTTATGTACAGTCTAATAATAATATTGCTTCCAAATATATTCTTCTATATAGTTTTATACCTGCATTCGTTTCTATCTTATTGACCCTCTTTCATCATTAATTTTCTAAACTTTGCATCTATTATCTAGCCAATAGGCCCCATATTTTAGTAATAGGCTGTTTCTCCTTTGTCTTTAATTTCCATCGTTAACCTGTCCATTTTGGCACATTCTAATATTTTCTTTATTACCATTTCCTCTGTCGGTATACTTCCGTTTTTCCAATTTTGTGCATATGTAATTCTGTTGCCACTGTTATTACATGTAACATTAAATATTGAATTACTCTTTTTTTTACATTTGGCCTCCAGCATTGCTGAATGGCAAATTATACCTTGCCTATGTTGTCACACACCACTACAATTATTTTACTTCATGTATTTTATTTCATGTGCTTTGAGCTTTTCTTTCTTCAGATTATAGAATTTGATTATATAATAATTATTAAATTATTATATTTCCAGGACTGAGTTGTACAAACTGATGCTGTGTCTTCTACAACAAGGAGACATTTTCTGACAGTGTGAACAATCAGCCAATGGAACAGCTTGCCTTCAGAAGTTGTGGGAACTTCATCTATAGCTATGTAGGACATCTCAGGGAGGAGGGGGACACTCATGGATAAGCAACAGATAATGTAAGCAAATATATTTGTAGGTAATGGATTTCCCTTCTCCTGCCCTTCTGCCATCTGCTTATCTTCAAGAGAACTAACGGGAGAAATAAAACAAGAAAACAAGAAAATGTGGGCTAGTTGGGAATCCCAGATGTTGGAAAGAAAACATCCGCCATTGGTACCTGAAGGACAAATCTATGCAGATTGTCCTGAGAAGAAAACAGGCTGCAGCTCAATAAGCCAAATTCTTATATCTCTGTACATCAGCTTGTTTAGATGATTCCATTTGTGTAAAAATCTCTTTCCTTATATTCTGTAGCTTCACCATTTCCTGAAGAATCCTCAGATCTACAACAACACCATAGAAGGAATGTATTTGGATAGAAATGGAGATTTGATGGCTGACTTTGACATTGTGAACTGGGTGTTGTTTCCTAATAAGTCGACCACCAGAGTGAAATTTGGGAGTCTAGACAGAGAAGGAACCATTGGAGTCAAATTCAGCATCAACAAGGAAGCCATCACGAGCCCTCAGTGGCTCAATCAGGTAGAGGAAGAGGTGTCCCATCTTTTTACCGTGTTTCCCTGAAAATAAGACATTCCCTGATAATAAGTCCATTCAGGTTTTTGAGCGCATGCACTAGAATAAGCCCCCCGCCCAAAAAAATAAGCCCTCCAAAAAAATATTTAAGCACATGCGCAGACAGTCCTCACCATTTCCTCTAGTTAGGGTTAGGGAGACAGAGCTGGAAATCAGCAAGAGGAGCCTCGTCTTGCTCCACACACCCCAAAATAATAAGACCTCCCCAAAAATAAGGCCAAGCGCTGATTTCAGGGTTCAAAAAATATAAGACAGGGTCTTATTTTGGGGGAAACACAGTAGTTTTGTCCATCATCTCAATCAGTGTACTCCACCATCCCAAACTATATGTAAGACCGACTGCCTTCAAATTCATGCTTCAGAATTATATTCTTTCATTTATAACAAGCAAAGGAAAAGATGCTTTATGACTTATACAGTAGAAGACTTTGGTCTGGGGACATTGAGGAAAAAAATGTGGAGATGGAGGGAAATGGAAGCCTGATTTAAGAGGAGGGGAGAAGTAAAATCAATTGAGTTACACATGTTCGCTCAAAACAGTAAAGTGCAGATAGAGCCCCTCCCAAAGTCCAATACATCACCAAGCCAATCTCGAAGTGTAAAGATACTATGAGATACTCAGGCTGAGGAGGTGTTAAATGCCGGTCTCCAAGGCAACGCTGCTGCTCTTCTCTGGAGACGAGATAAACTATGGGACCTGACAATCCCATTCCAACACTGTAATTCATTTCATAACTATCAGTTTTGCAGATGCTTCTGAATGCAAATTTTACTCACTTTCAGCCCTTGCCTCACTCCCACTGTGTGGAGCCTTGTCAGCCTGGATATTTCAAGGTGGTCCAGGAAGGAAAACCAATCTGTTGCTACAACTGCGTCCCTTGTGCAGAAGGGAGCATTTCCACCCAAGAAGGTGGGTGAATGGGAATCAAAACAGTTCTTGGGATAGGAGCAAAGGTTCCTGCAGATCTTTTCTAAGAAGATATTTCTAATTTGGGTATTGGAGTGGGAGGGAGTATTAATTGCCATCTCCTCCATTCCAGGATGGACTCAGGATAGACACATTTCTGCCTAACCATCTTCCTCCAAAGTATTCAAGGAGTAGGCAAGCATGATCTTTTTTTCCTGTGGAGTAGCTATTTGGGGGAATACATTGCTACCAGAGAGGAACCTCTCCTCATTATGGCGATTAGCGAGAAAGGTCAAACCAGACAACTTTATCTGCCCCTTTTTAATCATTAACCATTGGGATTTGGTGGGACAAAATGAAAGCAAAAATAGTTGAACAATATTGTTATTGAATTTCAATTTTATCCTCCAATTAATGGGTAGTGAGACAAATCAAACACCATTTTGGAAAACCAGAATATTCCAACCTTGTCAAATTAGACAAATTAGACATTCCAACCTTGTCTATTAGAAACCTTCCTACATGATGTAGATCAGGGGTGACAAACTCAAGGCCCATGGTAAATATTACATTTGTCCTCTATAGATGCAGACCACTGCACCAGATGTCCAGACAATCAGTATCAGAACAAGCATCGAGATCAATGTATTCTCAAAATTGTCACTTTTTTGTCCTATCAAGAATATTTGGGAATTATTCTTACTTTCTTTGCCCTATTCCTGATCTTAACCACAGTTTTAGTCTTGGGAATCTTCATTAAATTCCAAGAAACTCCAATTGTCAAAGCCAACAACCAGGACCTCTCCTATATCCTCCTGGTCTCCCTTCTTCTTTGCTTCTTGACTTCCTTTCTCTTCATTGGACGGCCAAGGAGAACCACCTGCCTTCTCCGACAAACAATTTTCAGCATCATCTTTTCAATTGCCGTGTCTTCCGTCTTGGCCAAAACAGTCATGGTGGTGCTGGCCTTCCTGGCCACAAAGCCAGGAAACAGAGTGAGAGGGTGGCTGGGCAAGAGTCTGACCAACACCATCATCATTTCTTGTTCCAGTGTCCAGGTTGTCATTTGTTTCACCTGGTTAGGAGTCTTTCCTTCATTCCCTGATTCTGACATGTATTCCCAGCCTAGAGAGATTGTTCTGCAGTGCAATGAAGGCTCTGTCACTATGTTTTATGTTGCCCTTGGTTACATGGGTTTTCAGGCTGCCATTTGCTTCGTAGTGGCCTTCCTGGCCAGGAATCTACCTGGGTCCTTCAACGAAGCCAAGCTGATCACCTTCAGCATGCTGGTCTTTTGCAGTGTCTGGATCTCCTTTGTGCCTACCTACCTCAGCACCAAAGGGAAATTCACGGTTGCTGTGCAGGTCTTCTCCATCTTGGCTTCCAGTGCTGGGCTGCTGGGTTGCATCTTCATCCCTAAGTGTTACATCATTTTGCTGAGGCCAGATCTGAATACAAAGGAACAACTGATGTTCAAAAGTGAAGTAAAAAAGTGATGCTGATGGATGTTCTGGGGATATAATTCCCACCCAATATAATTCTCACCCATTGGGTACTTTTCAGGAGAAAACACTATCAGGCTGCTTTTTGAAGTGATCTCCTGCTTAAGCCTAATTTCCATGTTTTTATGTTTCTGTGTCTGGTAGTATTATTTAGCATTTTGGGCTTCATTATTAGCCTTTAAGTGAGGATGTTAATTGAATTTTAGTCTGGCAGTGTTAACCTCCTTTCAGATTTTAGGAAAGCATGTTTTTCTTCTGTTTTTTGATGGGAAAAAGCAGCCTTTTCAACAACTGAATCTTAGTCAGTGTATTCTGAAAGTAATTGAATACACTTGCAAGTTTTAAGTAAGATACTAATCCATCTTGGAAAGAGCATGATGTAACCCATAAATTTACCTCATGTGGAAAGTAATTTCTAGTCAATATTTTCTATTGTTCACTTGTCAAATGTAATAAATGTCTTTCATTCTTTCATTGGTTTATTTCTGATGTATCACATGTACCAAATGTTTGTAACATTTGTTTCTGTACCCTATTAAAAGACTTGGACTTCCCCCATTCCATAAATGCTTTTCACTGTGCCTGCGATTTGTGTTTTTGGGTAGGGCTGAACCAGTGGTGGGATTCAAAATTTTTTACTACCAGTTCTGTGGATGTGGCTTGGTGGGCGTGGCTTGGTGGGCATGGCAGGGGAAGGATAGTGTAAAATCTCCATTCCCTCCCCACTCCAGGGGAAGGTTACTGCAAAATCCCCATTTCCTCCCGATCAGCTGGGACTCAGGAGGCAGAGAATAGATGGGGGCGGGGCCAGTCAGAGGTGGTATTTACTGGTTCTCCAAACTACTCAAAATTTCCCCTACTGGTTCTCCAGAACCGGTCAGAACCTGCTGAAACCCACCTCTGGGGTGAACAGCTTACTTTTACAAAAGGAAAAAGTGTTTTTTTAATCTCTCAGATTCAGAGAAATAAGGCCAAACAATTGGGGAAAATAAAGCTGCAACATAAATGGTCATCACCTTTCTTTTTAATCCAAAGGACATTAATTCACTAATAAAATATTTATAATTATTAAGATCTACCAAACAGGTAGAAGAAAGTATTTTTTCCCCTATAATCTGTCCTGTCTAACAATCAAAACTATAGATCAGAAGTTCATTTCTTTTTATTTGTGGGGTTCTTGGTGCTCCCTATGCGTGCTTGTTTTTTTGCAGATGTTTCATGTCCCAAATTAAGTAATATACAATAGAATACTTTATTGGCCAAGTGTGATTGGACACTCAAGGAATTTGTCTTAGGTGCATAGGCTCTCAGTGTACATAAGGAGAATAAAATACATTCATCAAGAATAAAAAGATCCAACACTTAGTGATAGTCAAGGTTACTAATAAGCTATCAAATTGTACTAGGAAACAAATAAAAACAATATAAATTGAAAGATACATGAGACATGGTTATAGTAATAAGTGGGAAAAGATAAATACTAGTAAGGAAGAGAATAATAATAGTAATACATTATTTGACAATGTTGTGGGAATTAGTTGTTAAGCAGAGTGATGGCATCCGGGGGGGAGGAAAACATCATCAGGGCTGATAACTATCATGAGTGACTAACAATGATGATGTTATTAGTTTGGGTCATGAAACATCTGCAAGAAAGCAAGAAAGCTCAGAGGGAACCAAGGATCCCTCATTTCAATCCTGAACAACAAATATTCTCTATTGGCATTTTTTTTTATGAAGAAATGTATAAGAGGCTTCTAGTTATCAATTAATGTAGATCATTTCCTTTCTCTAATCAAAGAAGTTAATTTATCCATTTCAGGTATTCTACCAAATTCACCAGCCATTCCTCCAGAGTGGGTTGAGTGGGGGGGAGCCTTATCAGCAGAGAGTTGATACTAATAGACCCCACAATGGAACTAAGAGGCCAGGATTGTGTGGGAGATGGTGGTATGATGTTCCTGCTTGCAAAGAGAAGGGTGACAGGAGAGATTATGTAAGCAAAGCAATGAATTGACCAAGAAACCCTGATTGGCAGGATAGGAAATATGTAATTGAACGGATGGCTAAGCACTGAAGATACCTACACATTTTTTTTTTTCCAAAATGAAATTGGAAAAGAGAATCTATTGCACAAGAAAGGAAATTTTTGGAAACATTCCAAATCTATGGATTCATGGATGGTATGCAAGGCCCAATAAAACACATTGAGGATGGAGATAATAATAAAATATTTACTTCTGACCAAAAAAAAGATGGTCAGGAATATTTTACGCCTCAAGCACAACAGCTCCCAAACCAACAAGTTTTACATACATTTTTGCAACAAGATACAAAGTAAAAACAAAGCTTTAAATTGTACAGCCTTCAGCCATAAAGTGATAAAGTAGGCATAATTCAGGATTCCCAGAATGCAAGATTCCCAGTCAATGATATGCTTGCCCTGCCTTTAACTCTATATCTACACTAATTTCATGTAGTTACAAAACAAAAAGGCAACTGAACATCCCATCTACATCAACTTCAGTCAGTCAGTCAGTCAGTCAGTCAGTCAGTCAGTCAGTCAGTCAGTCAGTCAGTCAGTTAGAATGCAGTTGTCAATTGTCCCATTGGGTTAGGCAGCAAAAGAAACTCCTGGGACATTTTTTTTACCAAGAGTATGCCATATTTTTTGGCATACTTACCTTTTTGGCATATTTACCTTAGTTTTTGGGAAGGAAAATAGAAAAAAAAAATCTTCCTCTGCCTACCAGGTATTCATCTGGCTAGCGTCCTTAGCCTGGTCAGCTTTAGCACACGTTAGTTCGCTGGTTGTGAGTGTGCACTGGGGCTGATAAACAGCTTAAAAAGCACAGCTGATTGTTAGAGGGAGCTCCAGTTAGTAAAGCAGGTGAAGCGTGGAAGCAGTAAGACAAGGCAGTAGCTTTGGCAAAATGGGTTGCCATTTTGGGCTCCGCGCCTCGCATTTTCAGCCTCCAAATGCTCCATTTGAGAGCCGTTCATGGCTGCGGGGATCGTAAAAAGGACATCACTGCCCATCGATACCCGAAAACATGGCTGTTCACCGCCCTGAGTCCTTCGGGAGTAGGGCGGTATACAAATTTAATAAAATGACAAAATGACAAAAATGTGCAGAAGCCAAAAATGGGGCATGCTGAAGCCTAAAACACGATGCACAGAGGCCGAAAACACAATGTGCACAGGCAGCGATCAGTGGCGATGTGTTTTAGCAATCCCTACAGCCTTGAATGGCTCTCAAACGGAGTGTTTGGAGGCTGAAAATAAGAGCCATTGTCTGTGGCAATCTCTGCAGCCAGGAAGAGGACGTGCTGAGGCTGAAGGGTGGGACTGGCTGGTGGGTGGGGCTACATTTGCAGTATAAGACGCACCCAAGTTATCAGCCTCTTTTCGGGGGGGGGAAGTGCATCTTATACACCGAAAAATAAGGTAACTTTACTGAAGATTCCATGTAGGTACAGGAGAAAAGCCAGTTCTAATGATTTCCTGTCAAAATAGCATAGGAAAACTTTCCCTTGCCCCCCTGGACCTCCCATTGTCCATTGTCCACCATGCATTTGCACTTTCTTTGTTTTGGGAACAGTCTGTCTGCCTGGGACTTCCCCGGTTGTTGACCCTTGAGATATTGGATCTGTCTCAGACTTCCAGTTGACACACTTGCATTCCAAATTTCCTTCCCAAGCCTCCCTTAGATTCCAAGGCCTTCCCTTCCCCCTCCTGTTATAGTTGTCTGGTTGCAAGCAAGGCCAGATCCGGAAGATGAAACTCAAATATTTTGGTCACCTAATGAGAAGGAAGGACTCACTGGAGAAGAGCCTAATGCTGGGAACGATTGAGGGCAAAAGGAGAAATGGATGACAGAGAACGAGGTGGCTAGATGGAGTCACTGAAGCAGTAGGGGTGAACTTAAATGGACTCCAGAGGATGGTAGAGGACAGGAAGACCTGGAGGAACATTGTCCCTGGGGTCACGATGGGTCACTTCACAACTAACAACAAAAAAACAAGACTGCGGAGCAAGTCAACCATGACAGCAGTATTGCAGGCTAACTCACTGCTCATTCAGCAGGAGTTCGATCCTGACTGGCTCAAGGATGACTCAGCCTTGCATCCTTCTGAGGTCAGTAAAAGGATTATTTGGAGCAAGATGGTGACTCTGTAAACCATGTTTCAGAAAAAAACTTTTTTTCCTGCCTCTGAAAGCCTCCACAAGAGTTTCAGAAAAAAAAGCCTCTGAAGCTCTGTTTGGGGGCTTCTTTTCTGAAGCTGCTTGGGGGCTTCTTTTCTGAAGCTTTGTTTCTGATGCTTTTTTCAGCCTCTGAAACCTCCATTTGAGAAGGGACGGGGCTACGTTCGGAGTATAAGAAGAACCCAGATTTTCACTCTCTTTTTTTGGTGGAAAAAGGTGTGCCTTATACTCCAAAAAATACTGTACATAAATAAATAAAACAGGAGATCCTGACTGTTAGCTTTCAGTAAGTGAGTTTTTGGGAATTAAATGATTCCCAAGATTAAGCCTTTTACCAAAAATAGAAACAAGGCAAAGGGAAACTACAACGATCCCCAAATTTTTTTGATAGCAGAGGTTCAATCTTAGCTATGCTGTCATCTCAATTGATGTTTAAAGGGTGATCCACAGGAAATTTGTTGTATTTTTCAGTATTTGAAAAGAGCAAAATAGCATTTACCATAAAGCAGATGTCAGGATTCCAACCGATGCCCTAATTAAATGATGAGCCTCGAGCCAAGCTTCAAAAGAAATCCAATTATTTATTAGGAGCTTCACGTCAGCACGTTCCAAGTGAAGCCAACTCTTACCCCACGTAATTTACGTTCCAGCTCTGACCCTGTTTTCCCCCTCCCCCCAAGGTGTGTCATCAGTCACATTCTCCATCGAAGCAATTTTGCGGGTTGTAGATATCACTCCTCTCTGGCCACTGTGGATAAACACGGAGACAGCCTTAACAGAGATATGGCTGGAATGTGCTTTTGTTTTGACTGACATACTGCCTCACCGCAGCTACAGAGTTAGTTTTCCCATCCCCCTTGCCAATGGCAACTCAAGAGCAGGCCAGAGATGCTTTCTGAGTTGACAGCAGATTTTTCTTCCATGAGATTCACTGTTGGAGTGAAACTTTTGATGGAGTGGATGAAAGTGGACAAAGATACCTACAGGAAAGAAGGGGAG